GCAAGGTCTTGGAGCAGCTCTGAAGAGAACATCATAGATGCTGAGAAAGCAGGAGGTACCCTTCTCTTTTTGGAGGGGCTTGTCCACTCTTGGGTCCCAATCTCTGCAAAGAGGTTGCTTTAAACTGGTACCCTGCATATAGTGTCTCACCTTAGCACTGCTATAACATTTTTGACAAGCATGTTGTATGCCTGGCCAAGGACTTAACCTCTTTGTTGCTCCTGCCTGCCAGTCATTTGGTTGCTCTACTGTCATTTTGTCTCCTTGTGCTGCCCTTAGGGCTCTTCCTTCACTGGAAGCCCATTCCTTTTTTCTCTGTGGGTAGCAGCTTTCCTTAGGGCATTTGTAGTAACTTACTTGCATTCATTCCCTCCCCTATAATCTCCCTTTTTTTGCCAGGATTTTCATGGTCTCTCTTGCTGGGCATTTTTATTATTAAGAACCAATAGTTTATACTATCAAGTCTTTTTCTACAACACACAGTACCAGGCCAGGCTTTGCATCTGGCCCCACACTATCCCCTCAGTGCCCACTGGGCTGGAAAGGAAGGTGCCGTGGTCTTCAGCAGGGAGAGTACATGTTCCTCGGGGTGCTTGGCCACGAGCATATATGAGATCCAAAGGGAGCCATGCCAAAGTAAATATCCTACCTCGGGCCTGCAGCCAATGTACTGAAGTAACCCCTCATTTCTTGACAGAGCCAGGAGAAGCAGTGGGGCCTTTGCCTTGGAGCACATCTCCCCAAAGCACAGTCAGGAGCCTTAACCGAGAGTGGGATTTCCTTTGATACTGGGGCACATTGAATGCTTTTTGCTTAATTTTCTGGGATGGCCACAGGAGTCTGAGTCCTATGGAAATAAAAGAAGGGAATCCCATCACCCAACAGGACTTCTCAAGTCTCTTCTTTGGTGGAGCCATGTTTGCTGTGACTCTACAGAAGCTGGACGGGGGCCTGGGACCACAAGGAGCACCCAAGCAACACACTTCAGACCTCAGTACACAGTTGCAGCTAAGACCAAGTTGATGGTGAACCATAGAGTGAGAGAAGCCATGTTTCCTACATATTTCTGTCACATTGTCTCTCTCTCCCACTTTCGTTATCCCAGCTTTTTCCACTGCTCCAAGACCAGCCCCATGACATGTACTGTAGCTGGCCAAGGGGCTGTCAGTGCTGGCTGGCCAGCTGGTGCAGACACTGACTAGCCAGTGGGCTACCGCGGCCAAGCCCTGCTCTGCTTTTGCTCAGCAAGGATGCTTACTGGGTCTCTCCCCACCAGCTGTCGATTCTCACAAAACTTAAAAGGGGTCTGTAAGCTTCCCACTTCCCCATCTAGTGTGGCTGAAACCCACCAGTACATTTAGAAGGGATGAGGTAGGACTGACAGCCAGACAGACATCCAGCTCAGTCATGGATACCTCCTTTCTGGAGAATGGCACATCTTGCTGCTGACTGCAACCACTCCTGGGGCTGTGCATTGGCCTGGCTGACTCTCCTGCAGTGCCCCAGTGCTGCCCAAAATAGCACTCTGTTTCAGTCAGGCTTTCCTCCATGACCACGGACCTTCAATGACAAAAATTACTCCAAAATTAGTTTCTCCTTTAACGTTTTGATATGAGGCAACATCTGATTAAAATTACTTCAGTTACCCTCAGAGCCCTGTCACAGGCAGGTGGACTTTTAACAAAACCCTTCCTCTGCTTGGTGCAAGCATTGTGGCCTGGCTCAAAGGCATCAGCAGCAGTTTCTCAGCGCTGCCGATTTGGAAATTGCTGGCAAGTGCCAACGTTGCAACAGCATCAGCCGCACCACCGCAGCAGGCACCATCCGCTTCCGCAGACTGCTGCGGTGAGCACAAGGAGCGTGGCACCTTTGCCGCCGCCCTGAGGACTTCCAGCAGCCCCGGGATGGAGACATCCCCTCAACCGCGCCGCTGGGCGCTCCCAGGTGTGGAGGTGCAGGGGGCTGGAGCCCCCATGCCCATTGGCAGTGATGGGGATGGCAGCCAGGAGCCAGGGTGGTAGGGAGAACAAGGTAGCAGGAGGGGGCTGCTGATTTGGGAGAGGGCACGAGGTGTGGGATGGGGTGCCCCACAGCGGCAGCCCCTGCGTGGCTCCCTGGGCAGCGCTGTTACATCAGCTGCTCTGCCAGTTTACAACACTCACCCTTGAGCCTTGGCCCCGCAGCCTGCTGCGGTGTGGACATGTTGCACAACACCCCTGGCCCCGCTCCCTTTCCCTGCAGGGGCTGCCAGCGGCAGGCTGCAGGGAGGCCGAGCTGTCGCAGCAGCTTGCCAGTTCCCGATAGGCTGAAGAAGATGCTCCATCCACTCCTGCCTCTAGCAGGGCACTGGAGGAGGCAGCAGGACCAGGAAGCCTGCTGGTAGAGGTGGCTCTTAAGGAACTGTGGCAGGGGAAGGAGGTCTGCCCTGCAGGAGGGATGGAGAAGCTCTGCCCCCCCCCCCCCCCCCCCACGCGGGGGGGCCCCCCACGCCGGGGCGGGGACC